GTATCTCATGGACTTTCCTGCCTGGGCTGGCTTTGAATTGCAATCCTCAGATCTCAGCCTCCTGAGTAGCTAGGATTACAAGTGTGAGCTACGGATGCCTGGCACATTTTACCCTTTGAGCCACAGCCCCACTTCTGGTTTTCTCATCTTCAATAAATCACCAGAAAACCAGAAGTGGGGCTGTGGCTCAAAGTGGTAGAGCACAAGTAGAGTAGAGATGTGGTTCAAGTGGTAGACTACCAGTCTTGAGTGAAAAAGCTCAGAGACAGTGCTTAGGCCCTGAGGATGCATTTGCTCTGAACTCCTTACAGACTGAGATCTCTCAGGGCCTGCTATTATTTTAGAGGTGCATTAAAGAGAGGCTGCTTGATGATTAAAATAACAAACTACTACTTGAGATTAAGACAGTTTCTATTCTTAATCTCTTACTTAAATGCAGACTATAATGTAACTTTATTTATTTATGATTTTGAGGTTTGAACTCAGGGCTCCAGTTGTCTACCACTTGAGCCACATTCCCAACCCTTTTAAGTTTACTTAGTTTTCATTAGGGTCTCAGGCTTTTGCTTGGGGCAGCCTTACACCAGGATCCTCCTATCTCTGCCACTTGTATAGCTGGGATTACATAATGCACCTCCACATCCAGTTTGTTCTTTAATGTAGAGTCTTGTTAACTTTTTGCCTAGACTGGCCTCTTCATCTGCCTCTCAAGTAGCTGGGAATAGATGAAAACCTTTGAAGACTAAAAAAACAAACACGTTACTGAACTTTGAGTCTGCACAATTTCCCTCATGGACAAATAGTTCAGGAAATTATTGGAATAATTGGATGACTCTATGTCAGCAGGAGCTGAGTCCAGTGTGGCTTTTACCATGTGTCCCATTCAATACAACAGGGAAGTGCCATAAAGGGTGTGAGATGTCTCACAAATATGACTGCAATGTAAATCCTCATTACTGCAAGAAAAACAGGAACAAATGTCAAGAAATTATTACAGAAGTGTAACAGGAAGGGCACATATTTTAACCAGCATGTTTGGCTCCAAATGAAATTATTATAATGTCGGGTGAATGGATTCCCTTTTCCAGTAGACAAATGTTATTCTTCAGGCTGCTTTACCTTGTACGGATTATATTGTTCTCTCTTTCATTTTAATTAGAGAAGAGCTACAAGTATCTTTTCCAAGCAGGATTTATAAAGTTCAGTTTCTGTTAAAAATGTAAGCCCAGCTAGGCTCACACCTATAATCCTAGCTAACTCAGGAGGCTGAGATCTGAAGATCTCAGTTCAAAGCCAGCCCATGCAGAAAAGTTCATGAGAGTCTTTATCTCTAATAAACCGCTCAGAAAAAGCCAGAAGTGATGCTGTGGCTCAAGTGATAGAACACTAGCCTTGAGGTTCAGGAGCAATGCTCAGACCCTGGCCAAAAAAAATTTAAAAATTAAGTCTAGAACTCAAAATAAGTAGATCTTGATTTTATTTAACTTACAATTGGTTCAATTATTGAGTGGCGTGAACTTGGTAAGCTGTTCACATTTGCTTGTTGGTTTCCTCTGGCCTTGCTTTGTTTGGAACTATAAAACAGGCCGCTTCAAATGAAAACATACAGTACAATTTAAAATCCATCATGATTTAGAGGGCTTTGTACGCTGCTGTATTAAGAACTCTTGTGCTCCCTCTGCTGCTGTGAAGAAAACATTTATGCTTGAGACCCCAGTGCATTCCTCAACAGTTGCTCAGCTGGCAATGATGCTGCAGATCTGCACATGAATCAGGGCTCTTCTAAATGCAGTTCTCTCTCCAGAGTACTTACAGGCAGCCCTCAGGCAGGGAGAACAGTTCCAGGCCAGCTGCTCTTGAATACCCAAATCATAGGGTGCTCAAGTCCCTTATATAATGAAACAACATTTGCATGCTTCTGTATACTTTAAATCATCTCTGGATGACTTATATCACCTAGTGGAATGTCAATGCTTTGTAACTAGTTGTTATACAAGGAAAAAAATATAGTTGTTACACTAGACAAGAAAAAAGTCTGCACATGTTCAGTACAATTTTTTCTTCAAATATTTTCTGTTCAAGTATGCAGAGGTCCAACTGTGGTATTTTTCATTGGAAAAATTATAACCATAGAAAAATTAATGAACGCAAGAAATAAATAGAAGAATTTAGTTCTCTCACAGCCAAAAAGCATCCAGGCAGACTGCATCCAGACAGAAAGCAGGGTTGTTCATGTAGAGAAGTTGTCAGGATTCACCAGGATTCTGATTCCATAGATCTGATTCTGAAATTGAAAAATCTCCCTTTGCTGCCCTGAGGACTACTCTTTAAAAAGCAAGGATGTAATATAAAAATCATATGACCTAATATATACTCTCTGGCCCTTTTTCAATCTTCAAGAGTAGAGAGGACCAAAATGGCAAAGTAGATATAACGAATTAAAATTGATTTCCATGTTATTTGAACAAGCCAAAAGCATAGGTTAGGAGTAAGGCTTAGCTAGCATCATTACTCCAGTTCTTTTCTTTCCAAAGATTGAGTTATCCTCAATTGAATATCACATGAGGTTTGTGTGTAGGACTGCAGTGCTGTGTGATTGCCTATTGGCTTCTTGAAAGATTTTTTTTTCTTTCATCGGGTTTTCATTTTTATGAAAAAAATCTCACTTTTAAAGATTCACTTAATTCTTCGTGATTGTGCATTTAGCATTTTGTCATCTGAAAACCAAACATTTCAGCAGCAAAGTAATAAAACCATTTCACCAGTATTTTATTTACGTTAGGCCTCTCAGGTAGCAATAGGTTCAGGTTTTAGTGACAGATTCTGGCTTTAGTCTTAATGGCTAAGAAAGCAAAGGACACATTTCTTATTGTTTTTACTGTGGGCAATATATATTTTTAGATTCCTTGAGGGAACAGTTTAAATTAACTAACTGTAATCTGAATTATGACTTTTAATATGTTTAAGACTGTTAAAATAAATTAACTGCTTTCTGCCAGAGTAATAATTACAATATTAGCTTATTCCCCCCCCCTAAAATTTCTTTAAATGTAAGATGTCTAAAAATAGTGTGAAGGTGGATTGGACAGTTTGCAGATGATAGGTTGGAATAAAAACATCTCAGTTAAGCCAAAAACATGGCAACCAATATTTTCTGTTATAAAAATATTTTAGATGAATTTAGGTTTTCATGAAAGCTGTCTGAAACTGAAAAGAAGAGCAGAAGCTCTGTTTATTCACAGGCCAGCAACGGTAATACCTGCGGCACAAAACACCAGTCTTTTCCACCTTCTTTTTTTATGCCGGTACTGGGGCTTGAACTCAAGACTGTATGCTCTTTCCTTTGGCTTTATTTCTTAGGGCTGGCACTCTACCCTTTCAGCTGAAAGTCTCACAAGAAGCTGGGATTACAGGTATGTGCCACCGATGTCCAGCCTTGAACTCCTTTTAGTTGTCAGCTGTGCCAAGTGTGGGCAAAAGATATGCCCCATTACGTTGTTTGAACTATTACCCTTCACCTTCATTAAGGCTTGTCCAGGAAAACAAAACAAGGCAGAGCCTTTGCAGGAAACTGATGTTAACTGTCCACTAGAGGCTGTAATGAGACCAATAATGTCACTTCAGTACAACCGGAGGTTTAAAGCTAACAACCACTGATTTTTAAATGAACAGAAAAAGAAAGTTGTAGAAAAACCAGTGGGAATGAGCAGTAGCACTTCCACTTAAAGGAACCGTGTCAATGCGCACAGCATTTCCAAATGTGAAGGGCAGAAAAAAAAAACATGTCCAGGGTTTTCCACCTTCCTCCTTCTTTTGGATTCTTATCATTAGTATTACTTAAAAAAAAATTCTCCAGGGCTTTGGCTCTACAGTAGAGTTACTTAAAAGCTGACACATTTCTCGTGGTGATTTTCTTTTTGTGCTTCAGTTGGTGACTAACTGTTAGGTCACAAGTACATGTAGCCACAAAGGTCTCTCAAATACAGCTTACCCGAGAGAGAGACGGGAGGGAGGAGATCTCAGGTTTCTAGACACTGAGTTCTAAGCACTTGAAGGAGGTCAAATGCTGCCCTGACACCTACTGGTCTTGCAGCGTTATCTGCACGCAGGCTAGGAGACCTCCACACTGCGCGATGCCCGGGTGGGCTGCGCCCCTTCCCCCGCCAGCGGCCACACCTGTTGGCTAGGTGCGTTCTCTCCAAAGGATCGCAGTCTCCCGGTGGTGGTACCAGCGGTGGTGTGGGGTGTCATGGGGTTGGGGGCCGCGCTTACTCATTGAGATCAGAGGAAGTTCCTCCGGCGTGGATTCTCTAGAGCCACCGTTTAAAGATCAGTTTACTTTTTTTTTTTTGTTTCTCCAACACTGGTTACCTCACTTCCGATTAAATGAATGATCTGGATGGAGCGGCGAAGGGGCGCGCGCTGGTCGTCTGTGTGTCTAATCCAGGCCAGGGAGGGAGTTCCATACCCAAAGCCGATTTCCTGACCTGCAGAGAGAGAGAGTGAGAGAGAGAGAGAGAGAGAGAGAGAGAGAGAGAGAGAGAGAAAAGAGGGCGCCGCGCTCGCCAGCTTTCGCAGGCTAGGAAAGGTGAGGGTGCACGCGCTGGGGGGGGTGCGGGGGGCGCACCGGGATCCAGGGGCTTAAAACTTTGCCGAGGAGTTGCCCGCCGAGGTAGTCTGCACCACCCGGAGGGTTGTAGGTCCGCGAACACCCTGGCGACGACGGGGTTTGAGGATCTCAGTGATCCCGGGCAGGCTTCCGCGAGCGCCGGGCACCGAGGACGCGGCGGGATTAGAACGAGCCCGGCTCCCCCTCCCCCTTGGGGATTGCACGGGTGCCTAGGGGAAGCCTGGAAACCTTTTTTTGTTTTTGGAGGGGGGGGAGGGAAGGAGTCCCCTTCACCAGGTTGCCCGAGTTGTACCCAGCTGTCTTCTCCGTCCTCTCCATCTGGATACAGACGCCCGGGGAGGCGCGCGAGCCCTGCGCGCGGTCACCCCTCAAATTACCTCATCGCCCCAACTCCCCGCCCCTTTCCCAAACCTGGAAGAAACGGTCCCTTCGGGCGGGCCGGTGTCTGCGCTCCGGATCCCCAATCCCCAGCCACGCTAGGGGTGTGTGGGAGTCGGGCGGGGGGAGGGAAGAGACGCCGGCCTCCACCCCCCTCATCACCCCCGCCTCCCCGGGGTGGGGGGCCGCGTGCACCCCAGGGTTAAGGGCGCGGGGCGGCGGGCGCGCGGTGCGCTGGCGGGGCTCGGGGCGGCTCTCCCGGCCGCCGGCCCGAGGGTGCCCCCTTCCCCCCACCTCCACCAAGTCGGATCCTGGAGCTGCGGCGGCGGCAGCCAACTGCTCCATATTTGGCTTCAATTACACATTTACATACTGGAGCGAGCGGGCGAGCGAGCGAGCGAGCGCGAGGGAGGGGGGACGGGCGGAGGGAGGGGAGGGGAGGGGGGAGGAGGAGGAGGAGGAGGAGAGAGCAGAGTATACCGCAGACATCATTTCTACTACAGTGGCGGAGCCGTACAGGACCTGTTTCACTGCAGGGGGATCCAAAACAAGCCCCGTGGAGCAGCAGCCAGAGCCAGAGCAGCCGCAAGACATTGTTTCTCTCCCTCTGTCCCCCTTCCCCACGCAACCCCAGATCCATTTACACTTTACAGTAAGTGGCTATTTTTTTTTCCTCCTCTGATTCTTTCTCTCCCCCTCCCCCATTCTCTTCTCTCCCCCCCTCCCTATTTAGA